GGTTTTATAATTTGTAACAAATTACATAAAAATTTCAGCTTGTAAGTATTTCATTTAGTCAAGATGACAGAGCAAATTATTCAAATTTGAAAATACGAAAATAATAACAATTAAGAAGTGTACAATTAAAATAGAACTTTAATTAAATTCAAAATTTTTAAAAGTTGTTCAATCTTAATTCAATGTTAGCATCAATTACCTCGCTATCGTCCCATAACGCTTTATCTTCCAAGTTTTGGGCAGCCATTTTACTTCTGTGTCACTGAGCTCTATTACCAACTTAACATAATTTTACGTTGGTATTTCTTAAATTATTATTTGAAACAATATTATGTTTCCTGTAATAGTCGCAATACTAATTAAAAAAAAAAAAAACAAAAAAAAACTTTTTTTTTAATTTGTCCTTAAATTAAATTTAAACACTATTACCAAAAAGTCTGAAAAAAAAAAATAAATAAATTATTCAAAGTTTTAAAAGTACTTTAAAACATTAAAATCTTCTAAAATAACCGTCACACAAATATTTTTAAAACTGTATTTAAAAAAAAATTTTTCCTCCTTTAACTATTTTTCATCTGCAATTATTTACATTTAGTTTTTTTATTTTTATTTTCATTTTATTTTGAACTCAATAAAATTTACAAAAAACTACTGATTCAAAAAACCTTTTTGTCCAAATATAAAAAATACTAAACTCAAATGAATTTTTAAATGATGGAATATTAATTTAAAAACATTTTTTAATAATCAAAATTAAATAAATAAATAAATTGTAAACTTTTAAAAATATATTTATTTAAAATATTACCCATAGTTAATATTCATATTTCCACTACAATGATTATTAATAAATAATAATTTAGCCCTCTAATCAATCATTTTTATGAGAAGACAATTTTTCATTTTTATTTTTATTTTTTATTTATTTTTTTTTTTACAAAAATAAGTCTTGAAAATAGAATGAATGATGAAAACATATGAATTATTATTATTTTTATTATTATTATTATTATTATTATTATTATTATTATTATTATTATAATCCATTCATTCCTAAAACGAACAATTAATTACATTTTTTAATTAAAATAAAATTTATACAATTAATAAATAATAATATTATTTAAATTAATTAATTTACTATTATTAATAAAACTTAAAAAAAATTTAAAATGGAATGTATATATTTTCTCTTTACAAATTAAAAGAAAAAAATTAGCATTAATTAATTTTTAATAATAATAATAATAATAATAATAATAATAATAATGAGTTAAACAAGATGAAAAATAAATAAATAATTTGAAGTCTTATTAAGAATATTTTAAAAAGTAATCAATCAATCTACTTTTACAAAAAAAAAAAAAAGTACCATTAAATTATTATTAATTTATTATTAATTTATATTACAAACTTAATCTGTCCATCTGAAAAGAAATTTTAAAAAAAATTTCAATTTAATTTAATTTACTAACTAAAAATTTTGAAATCTTTACATATTTTATTTATTTATTTATTTTTTGGAAAAAAAAAATAATTTAATGTGGAATATAACAAGTGTAAATCAGCCTTAAGATTATTGTAACAACAATTTAACATTAATGGGGGGGGGGGGGGGGAAGAAAAAAAAAAAGAAAATTTATTATTTCATTTAAAATTATTTTCTACAGGGGTTAAAAAAAAATAAATCACAGATAATTAAAGTCCTGCATAATTTTTTTTCTTTTAGATAAATATATATTCACACATTTATATATATATTTTATTTTTATTTTTAATAAAATTCAATTAATAATAAATAAAAATGTCAAAAAATTAGAAAATTTAATGTAAAATATCAAACAATACATTTAAAAATTTGTTTTTTTAAATAAATTAATTAATTAAAATTTTTTTAATTATTGTCATAATTCTTACAACAACCGTGAGTAATTGGTTTGTTTTAAACTTTTTTTGTTGGAAAAACCTTTTTTAGTTTTCAAATTTTCATTAATTCCACCGGAAATAGAAAATATTTCAAGTATATTAAGCAATGAGTTTGGTTTGAGTTTAAAATTTCATTTCAGACATTAATAAACAAAAAAAAAAAAAATAAATAAATTTTTTATTAAATCCTGGATTTAATAATTATTAATTCAGCCATTATTTAAACTTTCAGATGGCAGTTTTGAAAAAAAAATAACAACATTTAATTAACAGAATAAAATTTTTGAAAGTGTTAAATTGTTATTAACACCAACTGGCATAATTATACCCTGAATAACAGATAGAAAAAATATTTATCTATAACATTTCTTTTCTTTTCTTGTTTGTTTTTGTTTGTTTTTATCTACCCAACAAACACATAAATTTATATATATATATATATATATATATATATATGTGTGTCTGTTTATTATATATTTATATAATTTAATTTTTTTTTTTACATTTATTTTTTTTTTTTATATTTAAATTTTCTTTTTAAACTTTCAAAGGCGATGATTTTTTTTTATATCTAAATACAAAAAAATAAAATTTGATTCATTTCCCCGCCCCCGATTTCCCCCCTCTTTTTTTTTTTACTAATTTTTACATATATATTATTTTCGTTTATATTATTTTTAGGCCAACAAATACAAGAAATATTTTTTTTTAATATTATTATTATTATTATTATTTACAATCAAAAAAAAAATTAATAATTTCATTTTTTTTTTTTTTTTTTTGCTCTTTTTTTGTTCAAGCGAATTTTTAACAAGGCCACAATTATAGCGAAAATTATATAATTGGTTTTTTAAAAGAAAAAATTATTTATTTAAAATGAAATATTATTATTATTATTACTATTATTTTAATTAAATAAATTTGAGAAATTTTTTCCCCCTTTTTCCTTTTTCTTGAATTTAAAACAAATATATATATATATATATATATTTATATTGCATTTTTTTATTGCCATTTTAAATTGTTGAAATGAAAATCCTTCTTTTTCTCTTGAAAAATCAAATTTAAAATTAAAAAGAAATTATTAATATTATTATTATTATTATTTCGTTTGTCAACTTTATAAAAGTCTACATTGTCTTATTGTGAGACCCCAAAAAATAAATAAATAAATAAATAAATTAGGGAAGCTTTATTACTCGACGATTGTTTTTTTAACGGTCAGTTTCATTTAAAATCCTAAAAAAATATAAATTTTAGAAAAAAAAATTAAATAATAAAAATTTCGAATATTTAATTCATAATTTCAAGCTGTCAATTTTTATTTATTTATTATTATTCGAAATCGATAATAATTGAAATTTAAATGTAATTTATTTTTTGAAATTATTAAAATTTTTCTTTTTTTTTTTTTGTTGCCATAATACTGTCTTTCTCTAATTAATTAATTTTTTTCAACTCAGAATTCTTTCTAAACTTTTTAAATATATATATATATATATATATATATATATATATATATATATATATATATATATATATATATATATATTTATACTTTGTAAAATACTATCAAATTTTTCACATAAATAATTATTTTTATATTTTATTGTTTTTTTTTTTTTCCTCTAAAATTTTATATAATTTAATAAAATTTCTCAAGTTTAATAGTAATTATCAATTATATATATATATATATATATATATTTTAACTATGAGAAAAACAAATTAACTAAAAATTATTTCTATGATTGCATATAATACTGTTATTAATTATATTCCCCCATTTACATTAAAATAAACAAAAATAAACATTCGAATTCTCTCTTACTTTCCAGTCATGAAATGTAATAATCATGACCGAACTTATTATTAAGTCGATAATATTCCTAATTTTGCGGCTTTTCCCCATTTTTCATTCCAAACGAAGGAAGAAAATTAATCAACTGTCAGAAAAATATAACCTTTTCCTCTGGATTTTCCTGCTGCTTTGGATAAGTGTTTTTCGTTAGAGTGTTGATTTTAGTCGTGTTCGGAGAACTTGGGGGTGAATTCTGCATTATTGCAGCAGGACTACTTCCCGTTCTGGAATGAGAATGAGAGGGTTGTTCTCCCCCTGGAACGTTTGAAGAATTAAGTCTTTGATAGCCTGGATGAATACTTGGAGAGGGAATTCCAGAAAGTCCGCTCATATTTCTACGCGATTCCGTTGTTTGACTTAGTTTCATGGGCAACATTTGCGGAGTTCCCGAACTGGAAGCAGCAGGCGCGATGGAACTCGGTTTATTGTTAGTGGCAAGTTTTAACGGTAATTGTTGTTTTATCTAAAAAGAAAACAATTAAATATTAAAATAAAAATATTATTTATGATGAGTCGGAATCAAGATGTTAGAACGCACCTGAAGATTTGGAAGCACTTTTTGTTGATTGGTGGCGCTGATTAAATTTGGCGGCAAACTTCCCGTTTTTCCCAAGCTGCTGCTTTTCCATTTTTGAGTATCGGATTTTCTACGAAATTCTACAGACGATGGAGGTGTCTGAAAACCTTGTTCTTCTATAGGTGGAGTAGTAACAACCGGCATATTTGGACTAATCAATATTCCTTGGTTTGTTAACATTTCCATTTTTCTATATAATTGCTCTCTTTGCTTCGTTATGTCTTTTTGTTCTTCTCTTAATTGATTCTACAAAAAAATTTATATGGGTTTTGTTAAAAATTTTGTTTAAGAATATTTTGTACGCGACAAAAAACCAACTAACCTCGAGCAAGAATAATTTGCAACGTTTTTCTTCCAATTCTTTTTCCTCAATTTCTTTCTCTCTCAACCAAGCTTCTTTATCTTGATTTAATTTGTCTTGAATGTTTCTCAACTCTTCCAATTGATGATTGTGTCTATAAGTAGGCTTTCTATCCTTTTCATCACTATTTAATTGTTCTTTGTAAACAGCCAACTGAGCCTGAAGGCTACGTGGTAAAAACGAAAGAAAAAAATTAAGTATTTTTTAATTCCCATGAGAATATTTATTGTATAAAAGTTTTAACTTACTTATTAATTGATGTCATTTGCTGCCAGAAAATGCATAACAGCGTATAAACATCGTGGGATAACAATATAGCAGCAAGTTGTTGCTCTCGACCAAGAGTCAATAAAGCAGGTATATCACTGGATGCGCTGGAACTAGCTCCTGCAAAATCTGGTGGTAAAGCCGAAATAATGGCGTTTCTCCAAAAAAATGGGTCCTGTAATATTTATATAATAAACAAATTGATAAGTTTTTACCAAGTTTTAAAAGTAAATATAATTTTAAGTCATGTTAAAATATCGACAAACCATTTCATTTTTTGCATTAGAATCCACATTATCAATACCACTGGAACCAGAAGAATTTTCCTTATGTTTTTTTAATATGGCACCAAGTTTACTACCGGAAACTTGAGTGTTATCGAAACCTCCAAATGTTTCTGCACGTTTTGGAAGTGTCGGAGATACGTAAGCATCACTTTGACGTTCCCCGACAGAACTAACACTTCTTGACAAATTAGTACCAGACGCATACAGAGAGCTAGCGAGTTGGCTCACTTCCTGAAAACAAAAAGGACAAAAAATTTTGAATTTTCAAAATAAATTTTATTCATTTTTATAAACTTTAATAAAAATATTTTTTTTTTTAAATATATATAAATAAGTTTTTCATCTTACCTGAACGGCAGATATGACTTTTTTCCATACGGAGCTCGTGTCGGCATTTTCTGCAACTAAATGACAATAACTGGGAGGTTCTGGTACGTTGGTCAGTCCAGAAGCAGCCAAAAGTTTCAATTGCAAGGCCATCTTTTCTTCTAAAATTAAAGCCTGTTCGTGGGTTTTTTGTTTAAGAATATCTGTAAAAATAATTTTAATTTCGTAGAGCTTCATTTGAAACTTAAAATTTATTCGTTTAACATGCTGTTTAAAATTTTAAAAGTTTTCCACAAAAAAAAAAAAAAAAAAAACCTAACATAATTATAATAGGAGTGCAAAATTTTTCACTCATTTTTTAAATTATTTTATTAAAACAAAAAAATTGTAATTTATCTAAAATTTCATTTTTTTTTTTTTACAATCATGCACAAAAAGTATTAAAAATAAAAATTCCACTCGTAATAATCAATATACGTCAAAATAAAAAAAAATAAATCGAAAAAAATTTAAAAAACATTCAATAGTTTAGTAAAGATTTAAAAAAATAAAATAAAATAAAAAATAAATGATGTGGAAGAAAATTTTGACGTACTGTAGAGTTACCTGAAAATCCTAAACCAATATCGGCAGGCCCTTAAAGAAGAAAAATAGCAAAAAGAAAAAGACAAAAAAAAAAGAAAAAAAAAAAAAAAAACAAATGTAAACTTTTTTTTTAAACACTCATTTATAAAAAATTGAATATAATTTTTAATATATATATATGCAACAACATATAGTCTACCAGAAGAAATTTTTTAATTTGACATCGAACCTTTTACGAACATATTTGTCATATATTATTAAACTTTTCGAAAGATTTATATTTTACAGTTAAATACACATATAATGTTACACGAAAATTATATATATATATGTATATATTATTATGTGTCAATAACAACAAGATTTTTATTTTAATTTACTTTTTATTAAATTACAAAAAAAAAAAAAACAAAGTAACAATTAATAAAGCAATCCCGTAAAAATGAAACTGAATATTTGTTTTTGTCTTATTAAAAATATTTTATAAAATATTTTTGATATTATAATAAAAAAAAAAAAAATGAATATTTTGAAAAAAATTTTTTAACTTACCGACGATTTGCCTGATATGAGCTTGTTTAGCTTCCCACATTCTTTGCTTATCCTCGTTACTTAAAACTGTTCCTCCCTCTTCATCTTCTTCCTCCGGACAACTTTGGACGGCACTTCTGATAGCTTGAATCCACGTTTGTTTATCTTTTGGCTTGTGTACTTTTAATTCAAACATTTCCGGTTCCGCGGGATGAGAACTTATCAAATAAATCCCTTTTGAATCTTGTCCAGCTTTTTCACGTACCAACAGCTTTTGAAGTGATACAACTCCAGTCTGTCAATTAAATATTTATATTTAGACTGCATTTAATAATAAAAGATTAAATAAATTAAAAAAAAAACTTACTTTATTGTCGGGAGTAAAAAATGAGTATTTGGTATTATTATCTTGTAGAAAAAATAAAACATCACTTAAAACTATAACTACAACGTATTGCATTTTACTTCTTCCCTGCATCAACATAGCCGTACCTTCAAATCTAAAAAACAATTAAATTGTTATTTTACTTTTGACCTTTAACCCATAGAAATAAATTCGAGGGTTTAAAAATCATTTCTTACTTTAATTTACGATTATCCGAAAGTATATCCGATTTTTTAAATTTGATTCCTCTACGAACTGTGAATGACTTCGCATCGATTCTATTATAAATTTCTAATTTTCTGTCTTCTTTCTCTTTTTCGGCGACCTGAGCATTCACTTCAACTAATATTTCTTTAACCAAAGCCAAAGCTCTTTGAAGTCGCTCCTGTTCAATTTTATTGTCCTTTGTCGATTTGATCAAAGCTTCTATTAGTAATGGATATTTTGTGAGTCTCTGAGTGACAAAAAGAATACATTCGGGAATTCCTTTTTTTTTGAGCAAAGGATTCTGTTGACATTGTCGTACGAAACCTCCAAATCTTCTATCGTTATCCGAATGATATTTGTAAATCCCGACAGCATCGCTGTGATGACTGCAAAATTCCCCATAAGCAGACTTAAGCTTTTGAGCACAAGTCCCCGAAAATTGTTCTAATAAAATATCACTAAATGTTTCAATGAGGGGAGACACTTTTTGACGTTGCCTCAATAAATATAAAAACTTAAAATGTATCTCCGTAAGATCGGCGAGTCTCGGAAACATTCTATTGACTATTGCTCCCAATTGAAAATATTTTTTTATTCCCTCGACGAAAACTTTTTGCATTACTCGCAATGTGAGACAATGATGTTTTTCCGTGAGTATAAATTCGTACATGTGTTCTTGTCTTTTTATTTCTTTATCATCCAAACGTTTGAGAATGTCTTTTCCAACGGTGGGCGTCCACGATTCCGGTTCCCTATCTTCCAAACCCAAAAATGGATCCGTATCCA